TTTAATCTGTCCTGGAATTTTTTCCTTCAAAGTCCAGCTGTTATTCTAGTGAATCTATGCTGAACTCCCGCCATGGCCAATACATCCTTCCTCAGATCCTTTATTTATTCCTTTATTCATTCACAGGATGAGGGCATCGTTGGCTAGGCAGCATTTATTGCCCATCCGTAATTGCCCAGAAGGCAGTTAAGAGTCAACCACATTGCAGTGGGTCTGGAGTCACATGTAGGCCAGACCACGTAAGGATGGAAGTTTCCTTCCCTGAAGGACATTAGTGAACCAGATGGGTTTTTCCCAACAATTGACAATGGATTCACAGTCATCATTAGATTCTTAATTCCAGATATTTATTGAATTCAAATTCCGCCACTTGCCATGGTAGGATTCGAACCCAGGTGCCCAGAACATTATCTCTGGATTAACAGTCCAGCAATAATACCACTAGGCCATCACCCTGCTCCCCCCTAAGATGGTGGTGGCTGGAACTGCTCACAGTGACTCCAGGGCAGTCTAACCAGGATTTTGTCCATTTTGAACGCATGTCTTCTACCTTCCTGTATGCTATTAATGTTCCCATTTTGGATCGTGGACTCAAACCTGACAAATCCTTATTTTGAACAGGGATGTCGAGAAAATTGGAAGAAACGCCAACAAGGAATCCCGGAGACGGTTTCAGAGAATGAAGAATGAGTGGAAAATGGCCAAAATTGCTTTGATAGTCATCCTCCTTTATGTCATCTCCTGGTCCCCATATTCCATTGTAGCCCTCACTGCGTTTGCTGGGTATGTATACGTACTGTTGAGCTCTATTCCTGCCAATGGCTGGTGCTCCCAGGGTGAATTTATATTCCAACTTTCATGTCTATCTTAAGTGATCGCAATCTCCACATTGATATTTAACTGGCACCCAACTGCTTTTTGTATTCGTAGGTATGCCAGTGTCCTCACACCCTACATGAACTCTGTTCCAGCTGTGATTGCTAAAGCCTCAGCCATTCACAATCCAATCATCTATGCTATCACTCATCCCAAGTACAGGTACATTTTTTCAAAAATACTTCTTGTATTCCAATAGGGATAATTGCACAGAGACCAATAGGTAGGGTAACATAATGGCCCTGTTACTAGATTAGTAATCCTCCACTAGTAAATGAATGGAAAGAGTTTTAATCCCACAAACTGAAGTTTGAAGATTTAAATTTAGGTTTACAAAATGCAATAATCTGGAAATAGAAAGAAGGAATCAATAGAAACCAACTCATTCACTCGTACTTACGAAATGGAAAGGTGACCTTTACCTTGCCTTTATGTGACTCCAATCACCACACCAGTGCAGTTGACTCTTAATTTGATTAAAACTTATAAGATGCTGAAGAGTTTTGAGAGAGTGAATGTGGAAGGAATGTTTCCTCTTGTGAGTGAGTCTGGAACAAGGGGTCACTGTATAAAAATAAAGGGTTACCATTTCAGACAGAGGTAAGGAGAAATTCTTTCCCACAGATGGTTGTGAATGAATGGCACTCTCTTCCTGTAAAGGCAGTGGAATATTTTTTAAGGCAGGGATGGGATAGATTCTTGATAAGAAAGAGACTGAAGGTTATCGCAAGTGGATGTCCTTCGGGAATGACATTCGGGAACAGCAGAATAGGCTCAAGAGGCCAAGTGGCTTACTTCTGTTCCTAATTCATATATTCATATGTAACTCTTCTAAAATGGCCTGGGAAGCCACATAATTGCATCAAAGCTTTATAGACTAACCATGCAGGAAGTTGAAAAGGCAGGGTGAGTAGGGATAGGCAACAAATGCTGGTCCTTCCTGACGTGTCTGGAGAATTGTGTTTTAAAAATGTAGATAATGTGTTCCAGCAAGGTCCCAATCAATGTAAAGGCTCCGAGTTTCGGTAATTTAATTCACCATTTTCAATTTCAGTTCAACTAACTTGATAACATTATTGTTCTTCACTTTCAGAGCTGCCATTGTGAAATACATTCCTTTCCTTAGATGTTTACTGCGATTGTCTCATAAGGATTACAAGTTAACAAGCAGCTACTTTTCCACCAGGCAATCCACCATGACCAGCCAAACCTCTAACTCAAGCGGATATCTTCGCCCCAAGAGTCGCATGTCTGCTTCTGACAGTGAGTTGGTAAGGAAATACGCTTTAGTCAACACTAGCTGTTCAGAGCCATAGGAACAAGAGCGGGCCATTCAGCCTTCAGGCCTCCTCTGACATTCAAGTAGATCATGGTTAATCTGTGCCTTAACTCCTGCCTTAGGTCAATATCACTTTACAACCCACCCTTCAAAACTAAAATTAATTGAACTTTTCGACCTAATTGATAAGGGTGTTGTGCATTTGGTTAGTTTGCATTATTGGTGTCGTCAACCTAGGTGCTACCTTTGGCTCAGGTTCATGAGTTAGAGAGGGTTAAGCCAATAATCTAGGCTGATAGTTTCCTGAGAGAGTGCTGCACTGTTGGGGGTACTGCCTTTCAGATTAAACTGAGGTGTCGTTTGGTCTCTTTGGCAAATGCAACTGATTCCATGACACCATTTCAAACTAAGGGCAGGAGATGGTTCCCCAATGTATCAACAATATTCATCCATTAATCAACATCCCCAAACAGATCACCTAGTACATTATCTCCATATTGACAACAAGACCTTGGTTGTCTTTTGTGACATAAGTACAACTGTGACCGCACTAAAATAGAAAATCTACTTCTTGGGTGTGAGGAAATTCCAAATGACTGAAACTGTGAAAATACACTTTGCAAACTAAGTCAACAGAAACAAAAATCATCACATTGTGGTGCAGAACCTGAACAGTGTAGAAAAGAGAGATGTTGCTGAAGCATTGCACCTTGTGGACATCAGGACAAACACAAGGATGCTAAATTTCAAATGATCACAACAATTTGTACTCCAGGAGAGAAGGGAGCTGGGGTTTGTCAAGTGGAATCTGATTAAACAAAAAATTGCTTTTGAGAAAGCAACAGAAAGCAATAGGTTCCCCACACACTAGTTCAAAACAGACAGAAAGCCTTGAAAATGTTCCTTTTATTTGCAGATAATGGGTAGCTGTGAACGAAGGTATGTGGCAAAATAACAAAAAGAAATAGGAATCAATAAAGATGTAAATTGAGCTGTCAGTCAGTTGTCTTCTGGTTTACACATGAAGTAGAGACAAGTTAACCGAAACATTTTTTGCAATTCCTTAAAAACAATAAGAAGGTAAATTGAGTTATTGGAATGTACTTAGTTCCTCAATACGGGAATTCACGCCTGGAAAAGAAAGCTCTAATCCTGAATAGAAAAACCTTCAATTTTTATTACCGAGAGATTTGTGCTGATGGTAAAGCAAGCTTCATCAAATATAATATCGATGTTTAGTGAGATTGTACAGGAACTTTGAACAACCAGCACATTTCCATAGAATTTAAACAGATAGTTTCCCTTCCCAGCAACACGATTGCTTCAACACACAGCACCCGCAGTAATCTGGAAATCTCAAAATCAAAAGGTAAAGGTCAGTGAGTTATATAACACACATCAAAGCAGCACATAACAAAGAATAGAACTGGAAAATAACCGCCTTTCAAGAGAGGGTATAGTCAAGTAAAGTATCTCACCAAATAAACTGAGCAGATTTAGGGTCGAAACATTTGACAGATTGATAATAGCAGAAAGACATGTTTAAAATCCAACTTAAACACACATTTCATGAATTTACAAGAAAAACGCTGTTTCCAAGAACTGATTTCAAATGATTTAAGCAAGTCTGTGACATGTGGTTGCTTATCACAACCACAGTGGTTGCTTATCACATGTATAATCACAATCGGCTCATTATTAGCAGTTTTAAACCACAACATCACTTTAAAAGGCATCTCTTTGTGTATATTCCTTGCACAGCCGAAAAATGTCTTCCAAAGAATGCGGCCAACAGTGTTATCTTCTAAAAATAATTCACAATACATTAGTTTATACAAAGATATTTTTATTCTTAACACTTCCAGTGCATATTATAGAGATTGGATTTACACTCCTGTGATTCTCTGTTCAGTAAAATTAATGGATGAAAATAATGGGAGCATGATGCTAAATTTCTAATGCACATTCTCAGTGTGTGAAGGACACCACCAGGTAAAGTTAAACATGTACCCAGAAAATCTCATCTTCAAAATTCATGGTTCACAATTATGGAGCATTATCCCGCTTCATCCACAATCTCTGCAAAGAGTTTGAAACAGTCAACATTACTATAGTGCCTTGCTAGGAGGTTCACATCTATGGAATTAACTTTGTTTTTATTAATACATAGGATGCAGGTGTTTCCAGCTGAGCCGACATTAATTGCATATCCTTGGTTGATCTTGAGAAGGTGGTGGTGAGCTTCTTGAACCTTTGGAGTCTATTTGCAGTCTAACTATGCCCACAATGTTGGTGCTGTCAAAGGAGCCTTGGTGAATTTCTGCACTGCAGCTTGTAGGTGGTACACTCTGGTATTACTGTTCATCAGTGCTGGAGGGAGTGAATATTTGTAGATGTGGTGCCATCAAGCAGGCTGCCTTGTTCTGGATCGTGTCGAGCTTTTTCAGTATTCTGGAAACTACACTCATCCAGGCAAGTGGGGAGTGCCTGATTTGTACCTTGTAGATAGTGGACAAGCTTTGCAGCATCAGGAAGTGAGTTACTCACTCCAAGATTCCTAGTCTCTGATCTGCTGTTGTCACCATAGTATTTATATAGCTAGTATAGTTCAGTTTCTGGTTAGTGGTAAGATGTTGATAGTGGTGATGCATTGAACATCAATGGATGATGGTTTGATTCTGTGTTGGAGATGGTTATTACCTGGCACTGAGTGGCATGAATGTTACTTGCCACTTGTCAGCTTGACATCGTGGGCCGAAGGGCCTGTACTGTGCTGTACTGTTCTATGTTCTATGATTGTTGTCCAGGTCTTACTGGATTTGACCAAGAACTGTTTCTGTATCTGAGGAGTCATAAATGGTGCTAAATATTGTGCAATTAACTCTGAACATCCCCACTTCTGACTTTATGATGGTGGGAGGGTCATTAATTAAACAACTGAAGATGGTAGGGCCCAGGACACTACTCTGAGGAACTCCTACAGAGATGTCCTGGAGCTGAGATGACTGACCTCCATCAACCACAACCATCTTCCCATGTGCCAGGAATAACTCCAACCACCGGAGAATATTCTCTCTGATTCCCAGTGATTCTAGTTTCGCTGGAACTCCTTGATGCCACCATTGATTGAATGCAGCTTTGATGTCCAGGACAGTCACTCTCCAAGAATGGCCTCTCTTCCCTCTCCTACCAAGAATACCTATTTTTGACCACTTCCTCTTCATTCTATAACTTGTAACATCCATCATCAGACAACCAGTTTCTCCATTGTGCTCTATTATCCTAGCTCTTCACCTCACCCAATGCATTCTACTGCTCTCTAAGGCCTAATGTCTTCCAGCTCAAGGTTAGGAAGAGCGAAACCAGTGTCTTAGCCTCACTCCCCAGCACATAGCCTCCCAGCATCTTCCATAGCCATCCAACATTGTATCAATTTGAACATATTCAACACAACTTTGGCATTGTATTTGTCCCGGAGGAGAATTTCAGACTGTCTTCAGCACAATAATAATCTCCTTGTACCACTGCCTATGTTATGTTCTCTGTTGCTGAAGCTCTCAAATATCACTTCAACTCCTCCAACTTTCACTATTCTAAATTTTATTTCCTGGCCCCCCACCCCCAGCCTCCAAAGTCTATAACCTACAATGTGCATTGTGCCCCCTGTCCCACTCTCCAATCCTCATTGAATTACATTAGCTTTCATTCCCCAACATGCTCAGCGTTACTTTTGCTTCAACTCATCCTATCTCTTTAATTTCCTCTGGCTTTGTAACCTTCTCAACCTCCCAGACAGTACCCTGGTTCAGTCTCCTTTTCCTCGATCTTGAAATTAGGACTGTCACTCCTGTTGACCTTACCCACAGCACTCTCCGTCCTTAAATGTTTTCACCTCTATCTCTTCCTTAGGAGCCTCCTTCAGACACCAGCCTTTAGCTGAGCACTTTACAGAAGGAAAAAATATTGAAATGAGACATCTTGTTCTAACTTCTCTTGTGTACTTTTAAATGGAGAACATTCATTTCCAAGCATTACTGTTCTTTAGCGGCTTTTGCCTCTGGGTTTGTCACTTCTCTTTTGCTGGCTCAGCATCTGTTGTCCTTGCATCAATTCTATAAAGCATCTTGGGATTCTTTTTACACAAACGGAGAATGTTGATGTTGTGAATGAGTTGTCCTTCTTTTGCCCTCTGAGAAAGCATTTAATTTCAACTGGCTGTTTTTCCCTTGAGTGTTATGATGCCAGTCTGTCTTGCTCCCGATTGCTTCTCTTAAGGTGATACCTTCAGAAAGATTAAAGGCTAAAAATTGGTCTGAGGCAATTTTTGCGATTTGCAACCCATGTGCTTCCAGTGAGGCAGACAGCACCTGATTGGAGCATGCAGCCATATTGCTGGTTGCCCACAAACTCAAAGTTGTGGGGAGGAGTGATAGTATGTGCTTGCAGTCTACAAAGGTTGTTCTAGCCTACCCTCCAGCTCTTAACAATGGTCTGTCCCTCTTGAAAGAGACTTGCAACGAAATAAAAAATGCTGTTCCTGCCTGCTGGTACTGCAATTGTCAACAATTAGGAGCTAAGAAAATTGATCTCCAGGCCAGAGAGAGAAACTTCCTAGGCTCATGGATATTGAACTGGAGACCTTGATCATGGAGGAAGAGAGAAGGAGAGAGGTCATGTTCGTGCGCAGTTACAGAGAGAAGGAAGGCCCACTATTAAAAGATGACATCCAAAAGGTATAGATGTAGGTGGCCAGGGAGGTTAAACCATGACATATGCTTCAAGGATCTGGATGCAGTGCTGGAAGTAGTTTAGTGGCTTTATGTGGATGGTCAAGGTCACTGAGTATATCTGATTATCCACTGCAGCACCAACTTCTCATGCTGCACTATGAGCCTTTCACTCACCCAGCAGTAAGCAGTTCCAATTATTCTGTTACTCCACCTCATCCTCGTATATCTTCCAAACATGCCAGCCTCATACCCACCTCCCCAAGCCTCCAGCTGCATCAAACAATTACTCTATAGCAAGCCCATTACTCAGACACTGTGCCATAGAATCACTGTCACTTTTTTCCTTTCTCTTGCAAGGCAAGGGGACATGAAATGAAAGAGCAGGCAGAAGCAATTCGGCACATAAATTTCTAAGTCCCATACTCCATACTTTATTAACAGCATGAAATAAACTTTAGATCCAATTTCCATTTCATGTGCTAGCCTTTTATTAACTCCCTAAGCAATCACACATCAGCAGTGGCCCAGTGGTTGGCACTGCTGCCTCACAATGCCAGGGACTTGGGTTCGATTCCACCCACGGGCAACTGTCTGTGTGGACTTTGCACATTCTCCCCATGCCTGTGTGGGTTTCCTCGGGTGCTCCGGTTTCCTCCCAAAGATGTGCAGGCTGGGTGGATTGGCCATGTTAAATTGCCCAGAGTATTCAGGGATATGTAGATTAGGTGTGTTATAGGGGGCTGGATCTGGGCGGGATGCTCCGAGGGTTGGTGTGGACTTGTTGGGTCGAAGGGCCTGTTTCCACATGGTAGAGATTCTATGATAACACCAGTTGCTTTGACAGATCCTATGAACGAGGGTTCACTGCTACATGATGACTCTGGCAATGAATTGTCTGTATGTGGTCCCATGACCAGCCAGACTTCCCTGGCAGCAGTCATGATGTTGTTGAGGGTGGTGGCTTCCTACCACCTCTGACCCCAGATCCTTGGCAATGCCTTAAGTTGGTTCATCCAGGTGGGTTTTCAATCCCAGCCCGGCTCGGCTATATTCCTTGCGTGTGATCCTGTCAGACCCTCAGCAAGTGGGTGTGGTTGCTGTATTGAGGTACAAAGCCATTTATACCCACCAGAGAGGCTCGTGTTGCTGTAAACAGGGCCTCAGTGACCTCCACTGAAATGGCTGATGGTGTCTTCAGTCAGAATTCTCCTTTTCAGTACGACACCCAGTTCTGAGCTTGATTGTAGATCTCCCTAATACAGTTTAAATCAAGGATAAATACACAGCCACCTCCTAGTTGAATCACCTCAGGCATTGTTCCTTTGTGAGGGGTTCTGTGTGCACAGTCTAAAGAGCTGTGTGTGTGGTCTAAAAACCTGTGTACAGTCTAAAAACCTGAGTGTACTGCCTAAAAACCTATGTATTGACCTGTGATGGCCAGGATTTTCTGTAGACAGTCAGAGGCATTGACACAACAGTGTCCTTAACTCTTCAATAATTGGTGATCAAATTACCTGTCTTTGCTGTGTGCCAAGGGACCTCCAAAACCAAGTTGCTGTATTTTCACGACTCTCCCCACAGCAGCAACTAAAGCTAGCTCTTTAAATGACCATACAATGAGAATTCCTCATGCAGCCTGGTGCACGTTTGGTTCTGATTGATAAGTGCAAGACCAGAGCAGTCCATGCTTGACAAATGTGTGTCAAATTTATCTGCCAACTGATTGATGTTGCAGTCCATCTACTCCTAATGCCATCAGTGTACACATATTCTCCCCAACACTAGACATGATCAGCAGTACAAACTGGATAATTTTATACCTTTGGGGATTCCATTACAATTGCACTAATAGTGCCTTGAAGCCTAATTTCCTGTTCTTTATCTTTTCATGGGATACAGATATCACTGGCAAGGCCAGCATTTGATGTCCATTCCTAATTACTTAGAACTGAGTGGCTTTCTGGTCCATTTCAGGGGAACAATTAAGAGTCACTTACATGGCTGTGGATCTGGAGTCACGCATAGGTCACACCTGGTAAGGATGGCAGATTTCCCTCCCTAAAAGTCATTAGTGAATTAGATAGGCATTTCCGAAAAAGACAAAAATCAATGACAGCTCCCAATCTTTATTGCTGGGACTAGCTTTATATTCCAGATTTATTGATTGAATATAAACTCCAGCACATGCCATAGTGGGATTTGCACTCCAATCCACAGGGTGTGGGTCACCCTTCTTGAAGAAGGGTTATACTTGAAACATTGACTGCTCCTTTCCTCCTGATGCTGCCTGGCCTGCTGTGCTCTTCCAGCCTCCTGTTAGTCTACCTTGGATTCCAGCCTCTGCAGTTTTTTCTGCTGGGTTATTAGTTAAGTAATATTACCACTACACAACCATAACTTGTTGCTTTAAGTGACATGAAGAGAACATTGGTTTAAAGATTATCAGTGTCTCTGTGTTCAGGGTATTATACAGTCCTTAACTTTTATCTGCCTTCCCATTCTAGGGCTGGACTGACAATGAGGTTGATATTTCCATTATAAATTCAAGTTCTGTCAGTAGAACGGTTTCCTGTGAATTCAGCAAAGATACAACTGAGCAAAGTGACACCACGGGGAAATCGAAATTGAAGAACAATGACTCGGGCATCTTTGAGAAGGTAATTGTTCACTTCAAGTAGAAGCAGCTAAGCAAAATGATGTGAACTATGAGAACTTTGGCAAAAAAACTCTAACATGGACTCACTGGGTGAAATTGGTGTCTGTCAGCATCATCAACCAGACTGAGTGAATCAACAGCAGATCTTTCACCATATCTTCTTCTTTCCACCAAAGTTCATAGAATGAGAATGACATTTCAACTCTTTTTCGGGGGACTTCAGTCTTCTTCCCTCGGTCACTTTTATTGGTTTGAAATTTTAAAAATTCTGTTTTTTTATTATTCATTCATGGGATGTAAGTTTTGCTGGCTGGGCCAGCATTTATTGTCCATCCCTTGAGAAGATGGTGGTGAGCTGCCTTCTTGAACTGCTGCAGTCCATTTGAGGTAGGGACACACACAATCATGTTGGGAAGGGAGTTCCAGGATTTTGAGCCAGCAACGCAGAAGGAGCAGTGAGATGTTACCAAGTCAGAGGGGAACTGACAGCGGGTGATATTCCCATTTATCTGCTGCCTTCTTTCTTCTAGTTGGTAGAGGTCAAGGGTTTGGAAGGTGCTGTTAAATGTTCAGTGTTGACAATAATTTTGACAGTGTTTTCCATGTCAATGGAACACAAATGTGGGTATGATGAAACATCAACTGTTGATTAGTTACAAGTCTTTTTTGTGCTATTGCCAAAGACCAATACCACCACCATTGTGTTGCGCATGAGCTGAGCAATTTAGACTTTTCCAAATAGTGTAACACAGACAATATCCAATCAGCCAGCCATTCCTCATCATCCCAATTTTCAGGAGGAGTGTACAATGGGTGGCTGATCTTATGGATTACTTCACACCATTGGTCAAAGACTAAGTGATGCCCTTAGCATGAGACCTGCAAGGAGACATCTTGCAGAGATTCAGAGCATCAATACACAGTGCAAAAAACTGGAATACTGGGTGTAGGAATGAACTCTGTGGAAAAGTACACTTGATCTTTGGGTGATAGTAGGAACTGCAGATGCTGGAGAATCTTTGGGTCACTGCCAAAAGCTCAGCAAACTCTGAAATTTCACAGGGATTCTGCCAGTTTTCTGCCTTAATTCTGGCAACGGATGCCATGGGAAACACAAGAACTTAACATTTGTACCAGAGCCAGAGGGCTTTGACATGAACTGTCACATTCCGACCCAAATCAGCCAGTCTGTCAGTCAGGCAAACTGGACTGTTCAGATAGAAGTCATGGGAGTTTCTTATTGTCAAATAAATAACTGGGAAGTAGAAGGAAAGGTGAAAGGGGAAGATTTGCATCTTAAACAGAACACCAGCTCATTTACCATCAGGCCTTTTCTGCTTTTTTGGAACATGGGTAACAAGGGTCTCAGAATAAATTGCCAGCCCATTAGTTTCAATTGCTGAGTGTCATGAGATCTCAAGATAGAGAGTGGGGAAGCAAACGTAAAGATGAGACTGGGGCATACAATGCAGTAACAATGACTGCTAACAACATAAGTTAAATTTAGCAGATAAGGTATGGTGCTGGACTGAAAGAGAGATACAGCATGGCATTGAAATGGAAGATCTACAATAGTTCCTTAGAGAAGAAAGGATCTAGAATCTCTTTTGATGCATGAAGCCAACGTTTGCTAATTTCCACAAACTCCATTGCTTTTATTTCAGACATCAGCCAATGTGACAAATATCTCAATGATTGAAGTGAGTCCTAGGGATGATGAGCGATTTGCTCCCAAGGTAGGTGTCAGCACATTCCATTAAACAAGAGAACAAAAACTGAACGTTCCAACAGGAAAGGAGTCCCATTGCTTGGTCAGACGTCAGTATATGTGTTGCTTAAGGTTGTTGTCATCTCATTCAAAACTGGACTGGAAGTTTTACTAGCTGCAATCTTCATTGATTGAGATGCACATCATTCTGTATGTATCACTGCTGGGTCCAAACCATTGATTTACTTTCTGTAGTCAGTATCGTGAGTTTTGTACGATACTTATGTATTTTCAGTCACTAACACACATGGACACATAGATACACACAAAGTCACAGACATGCACTCAAATTCACACAGACACATAGACACATGAACACATGGATCACAGAACCACAGAAATATTAGGGTGAAGAGGAGGTCATTTATGCCAACATGCTGACACCAGCTTGCTAAATGAGCATCATTACCGAGTGCCAATCTCCTGCTTTCTCCCCAGACATGTTCACATTATTTTTATCCAAATAACCATCCAATATCCTCTTGAATGATACACACAAACACATACACATAGACATACAGGCAGAAACACCAACACATAGACACACACACACACAAAAACACACACTCCTACATACAGAGACACACATATCAATGTACCAGTATAGGTACAACCCTGACATTTCCTATGTCCAATATAGTTCAATAGCTTTTTGTACAGTACAGCACACTTTGCTGCACATTACAGGTGAAAATTACAACTGCGACCTACATTTCATGTCAGAAATTCTTTGCATATACTGCCTGACAGATTTTGCACAGGTTCCAGCCTCTGAGAGTCTGGGTTAAAGAACCAACAGAGAAAGTCTGCAACAGGGTAGAAGAGAGGGGGAGAGATTAAATGGCAGAAATGTCGATGATACAATCTATGCAATAGATACACACCCTGTGACATCTCTGCATGCCAACTGAGGGGACTTTACTGTTCTGCTCAAGCTGGTTTCTTTCAATATCCGTCTAACACTGATGATGGTGAAAATAAAGTATTTAAAACTGCACTGTTTATTTTTATGTTGAATGCTTTGGAACTTTTCAATCACAACATGATCAGATGGGGTGATGATGCTAAAATGGTACTTTGAATCATTAACAGCTGGTGTCATGGGATTTGTGGGAATGTTACTAGTTGATTATTCATAGGAAAACCACGGGTGGTAATTATACATTGTTACCAACAGAGAAATATAACATACTGAAGTTGCAAGTTATTAATCCAGAAACTTGTGTTTTGAATATTCACTGACAAATATGTAACACATGTGGGTGACATTCCTCTGTTCATCTTCTTACATGAACTGAGTCCAATTATCTAAATGGATCACCCACTTCAGAGCATGTTAAGGGGCTTGTGCATCAGTGATGTAGGACTGACAATACAGAACACATTGAAGTGCACAAGCTGTCCAGTGAAACATACTGTGTCTTGGAAAATCCCAGACAATATCATAAACCAGAACTTTACTACTTGGTGCTGTTTTTAAGAATTTGGTGCATGCCTCTCTCATTGTCCCAATGTGCTCACTGGATAGCTTATGGTACAGTGGAGATTACAGGCAGACTTATATATAGGGTTATCCATTTTGATAACTATGTTCAACTTGATATACACATTTGGAGAATTGCAATGTGACTTTCAGAACTTTAGACGGCAACAAGAACATACTCCATTCATTAGATCAGCAGTTTTGGAAGGCTGGATGTCACTATTTTAAAACCATGGCGTTCTTTAACATTTCAGTTTTGGAATATGGGCATCATTGGTATTTTGTTGCCCTCAAGAAGGTAATAATGGGGTCTTGTCTTGAACTTCTGCAGTAGTATGGTGAATCGGTTAGACAGGAATTCCAAAACCATTGACTCAACAATTGAGGAACAGTGAAACATCTCCAGGTGGTTGTAGGATTTAGATTCAGGTTTATTTATTTGTCACATTTACCAAGTATAGGAATACATAAGGACAGTGAAAAGTGCACAAAGTCACCATTCACTGGTGCCCACTTGGTTACAAAAACCAGAAATTAAAAGATTTAACAGAGCCAAAAGGTAAGCAAGAAAAACAAAATCCAGATCAGAGCCCTTAAGTCACACAATGAGGCAGGTGCCGCTCCAATCGCTAGGATGCCACTGCTGCCTTACCAGCCATCTCACACCGCCAACTACTGCTGCCTCACCAGCCATCTCACACCGCCAACCGCTGCTGCCTCTCCAGCCATCTCAAACCGCCAACCGCTGCTGCCTCTCTGGCCATCTCACACCGCCAACCGCTGCCGCCTCTCCAGCCATCTCACACCGCCAACCGCTGCTGCCTTACCAGCCATCTCACACCGCCAACCGCTGCTGCCTCACCAGCCATCTCACACCGCCAACTGCTGCTGCCTCTCTGGCCATCTCACACCGCCAACCGCTGCTGCCTCACCAGCCATCTCACACCGCCAACCACTGCTGCCTCACCAGCCATCTCACACCGCCAACCGCTGCTGCCTCACCAGCCATCTCACACCGCCAACTGCTGCTGCCTCTCTGGCCATCTCACACCGCCAACTGCTACTGCCTTACCAGCCATCTCACACCGCCAACCGCTGCTGCCTCTCTGGCCATCTCACACCGCCAACCGCTGCTGCCTCACCAGCCATCTCACACCGCCAACCGCTGCTGCCTCTCTGGCCATCTCACACCGCCAACCGCTGCTGCCTCTCTGGCCATCTCACACCGCCAACCGCTGCTGCCTCTCCGGCCATCTCACACCACCAACCGCTGCTGCCTTACCAGCCATCTCACACCGCCAACCGCTGCTGCCTCTCCGGCCATCTCACACCGCCAACCGCTGCTGCCTCACCAGCCATCTCACACCACCAACCGCTGCTGCCTCTCCGGCCCACTCTCACCGCCAACCGCTGCTGCCTCTCCGGCCATCTCACACCGCCAACCGCTGCTGCCTCAGGGGGTGACTTGGAGGGGTACCTCAGGGGTGGTCCAGCTGTCTCTGTCCATGCAGGTGTAGATATTGCGAGGTTGCTTCCTCTGCATGAGAAAATTAGATCAGAGGTTCAATCTCAGGATGAGGTGCTCAATCATTTAGGACCAAATTAAGGAAAAAAAATTCATCATTTCAAAGTTCGTAAACCTTTGGAATGCTCTACTCTACAGGGTTGTGAATGTTGCATCATTTTGTATTACTGCATATATTTAAGACAGACAGATTTTTGGTCTCTCAGGGAAGGGGACCTGGGTTCAAATCCTACCATGGCAGATGGTGGAATTTGATTTCAATAAATATCTGGAATTAAGAGTCTAATGATGACTGTGAATACACTGTCGACTGTTGAAAAAAACCCATCTGGTTCACTAATGTGAAGGAAACTGCCATCCTTACCTGGTCTGGCCTACATGTGACTCCAGAGCCACAGCAATGTGGTTTACTCATAACTGCCCTCTGGGCAATTAGGGATGGGGCAATAAATGTTGCCAGTATCCCGTGAATGAATAAAGGAAACGGTTGTGGTTGTTGAAGGTCAGTCATCTCAGCTCCAGGACATCTCTGGAGGAATTCTTCAGGATAATGTCCTGGGACTAACCATCTTCAGCTGCTTCATCAATGACCTTCCCTCCATCATTATGTCAGACGTGGGAACATTTGCTGGTGATTGCACAATGTTCAGCACCATTCACAACTCCTCAAAAACTGAAGCAGTCCATATCCAAATGCAAAAAAGACCTGGACAATATCCAGGTTTGGTCTGATAAGTGGAAATTAACTTTTGGCCACATAATTGCCAGTTTCCAAGAAGCAAGGATCTAACCATTGCTATCCATCGTCATTCAATGCTATCCCCATCACTGAGTCTCTCACTATCAATATCCTGGGTGTAACCATTGTCTAAAAATTGAATGGATTAGTCATATAAATCCTGTGGCTACAAAAATAGGTCAAAGGCAAGGAAGCCTGTAGTGAGTAAGTCACCTCCTGTCTCCTCAAAAAAGCCTGTCCACCATCTACAAGGCACAAATCACGAGAGTGAAGGAATACTCCCCACTTGCCCGGATGAGTGTAGCTCTAATAATGCTCAATGAGTTTGACACCACCTAGGACAAAGCATCCTAATTGATTGGCACATTTACAAACATTTGCTCCCTCCACTACTGACATGCAATAGTAGTAATGTGTACTTTTCACTGTATTTTGTAACAAGATACATGTGACACTAAATAAATCAAATAAATACTATCTACAAGATGCACTGCAAAAGTTCGCTCAGGTTCCTCATGCAGCACCTTCAAAACCCATGACCAGAACAATAAGGGCAGCACCACTACCTGCAATTTTCCCTCCAAGCCACTTACCATCCTGCCTTGGAAATACATTATCGTTTCTTCAGCGTTGCTGAGCCAAAACCCTGGAACTGTCCCCTCTCACACAATGGCATTGTGAGTATACCAACACCAAATGGATTGCAGTGGTTCAAGAAGGCAGCTCACCAATACCTTTGCCAGGAGCAATTAGGGATGGGTAATAAATGCTGATCTAGCCAGCAATGTCCATGTCCCATGATTGAATAAAAAATAAATCCATGGTGTGCCAGGTGTGGAAGTCGTGTGTATTTGGGCTCTCGTAGATGAAAAGGACTTCTATTAAGTAACATTATCTCTTTAACTAACACGTACTGCACCTTCTAAATCCTTATTATTCATGTAAGGGATGCGCATCAAATGAAGAATGTATAAAAATCTTCAAAGTAGAGCATTTTTACTGTTTGAATTGGATCATTCTTGACCAGCAATGAAACGCTGACTAATTTCTCTTGCTTGATTCATTGTCTTGTCCAGGAGGCTGGAAATCTGGATGATGTCAGACTGAAGAAGGTCGATGTTGCTTTGATGCAAGCTGCCCGGACCCCCAGCATCATCATCCATCACAATAGCAACCCTGGCAATAGCCAGTCTTCAGATGCCAGCTTCAGTGCCATGTATGAAACGAGCATTCTTGGGAACCAGCAATCCACACTCCCAAGCCAGTGACTGCCAAGTTGCTGCAATTGCTACTGTAACTTTTACCCCATTCAAGTTAGTAGTACAAAAAGCCACCAGAGTATTTGCAAAGACTTAAGATCAGGACAGTTTCTGTAGTGCAGTGTACTAGATGTTCAACATTTAGCTTTGAGACTATTAGGAACATTCCACAGGCTGACTGGTCCAGTGTTCTTTGCACTTAACCCAAAGCTGAACAGTTTATCAGCATTAACAAAACAACGAGGTGCACAAAGTGGCTACACTGTCCTGAACCAATAAATGTATGATTTACTTGTGAAGTAGCAAGTGAGAGACAGGACAAAGATCGGGGAGAAGAATTGGATAAATTGAGAGCTTATACCATAAGGCAAGGCCAGGTCTGTGTTTCATAGATTGGAGGAGGAAGATCAAACTTGGGGAGCTGTGAACTTCCAGTTTCTTTGGAGACGGAGTAAAGTAGGAGATGGTATGGTTAGTGTTGGCTTGAATATAGTGAGGTTGCAGGATGGAGAAAGAGTACGTAAAATGGTGTATTCAGAAAGTCAGACAATGCTGGCAGCACCCTGCTCCCAACCCAATCAACCCTAATGACGAATCCTTAGATCTCATGATCCAATTATAAATGGATCATGCGGAATCATTCAACCAGCAAGTAAACAATAAATTACTGTATTAATGCAATAACCAGTGAGGATCCTAATCTTGGAATGTTTGGCAACGCATTCAAACATGCAATACATCAGCTCACAGACTTTTGAAAATATTGTGGAAAAATGGGATTGGTCCATTTAAAAATTAAAATGTCCAGAAAGTGACCTGCATTTTTTAAAATCATAGGTAACTCCATTTAAACACAAGCATTTTTCTCTCTATTCCAATGTTTAGTTTGTTGGGTCCTGTGTCAATCTGACATGCTCGTTAGGATGACTGCAAAAAGATGCTACAATTCATTAGAGTGGTATTAATGGGACATTGAGTAGGTATTTCCTTGCTGTGCATTTTCAACATCATTTCATAGAAGCCCCACAATGTGGAAGCAGGCCATTCAGCCCCAATAAGTCCACACCAAACAGCATCCCATCCAGACCCACCCTGCTGTAACCCCGCATTTCCCATGGTTAATCCACCTAACCTGCACGTCCCTGGATACTATGTGCAATTTAGCATGGCCAATCCACCTAACCTGCACACCTTTGGACTGTGGGATGAAACCGGAGCACCCGGAGGAAACCCATGCAGACACAGAGAATGTGCAAATTCCACTCACAGTCACCCGAAGGTGGAACTGAACACGGATCTCTGGTGCTGTGAGGCAGCAGTGCTAACCACTGAGTCACCATGCTGACCATTCTGGGGATTAAACACAGATGACACCTTTTCTCTCGGATCACAACTATTAGGAGTATAGACAGGGCTCTGGCCACCGGGAAACTGTCCCTCCTGCTTTCATCTTTTGGTGCTGCAGAGTGTGAACATGAATGATAGAGTTTGGGCATCCATGCTCACTCAAACCTGTGTCTGCAAACAGAAGCTTTAAAGCTTCTTTAATGTTCAGATTGCCTCTGAGCAATCTGTATTTGCTAAGTTTCTGCTTTCAATCACAGGAAAGAGCAAATTCCTTTCATTCGTTTCTTCTCCTCAGTCAAGAGCTCAGCTCCTATTGAGCAGCATGTGCAGCAAGTGTTTGTTGTTAATGGGCCCAGATAGCAGGAGAAATGTTACAGGCTTTTTAGATAATGGGACATTTCTATTGACACTGTGCATGTTGGCACAGACAACATCTGGAAAACAGGTATACATGTTTTCAAGTTAAAACTCCAGGACGCCATTAGTCTGTACCTTCAAGCCTATATTCAACAGCACAAAACCTCATTTATATTGTATTTTTTCTTTATCCTCTTGTGGGACATGGGCATTGCTGACTGGGCCAGCATTTATTGCCCATCCCTGGTTGTCCTTGTGAAAGTGATGGTAAGCTGCCTTCTTGAGCCACCACAGTCCATGTGCTGCAGGTTGACCCACAATACCCTTAGGGAGCGAATTCCAGGATTTTGACCCAGTGACACTGAAGGAACAACAATATATTTCAAAGTCAGGATATGAGTGGCTTGGACGCAAACTCCCATTTACCTGCTGCCTTTGTCCTTCTAGATAGAAGTGGTTGTGGGTTTGGAAGGTGCTGTCTAAGGCACCGGTGAATTTCTGCAGTGCCTATTGTCGATAGTACACACATGCTGCTACTGAGTATCTGTAGTGGAGGGTGTGGACGCTTCTGGACATGGTGCCAGTCAAGCAGGTTACTTTGTCCTTGATGATGTCAAGCTTCTTGAGTGTTGTTGGAGCCAAACTGATTCAGGCAAGTGGGGAGTATTCCATCACACTCCTGACTTGTGCTTTTTAGATGGCTTTAGCGAGTCAGGAGATAAGTTACTCGCCACAGTATTCCTAGCCTCTGACCTGTTCTTGTAGCTATTGTATTTATATGGCAAGTCCAGTTGAGTTTCTAATCAATGGTAATCCCAAGGATTTTGATAGTAGGGGATTCAGTGACGGTAACACCATTGAATTTCAAGGGGTAGTGGTTAGATTATCTCTTGGAGATAGTCATTGCCTGGTATTTGTGTAGCATGAATGTCAGTTGTTGTCTAAGTATTTTATGTCCAGATAGAAAATAAATAGAAAGTAAAGGAATTAATCATATTTTGTGGCATTTCGGAAGCCAACAGACGGTCATTACAGAACAGAGGCTTTCAACTATCAGCTTACAAAGACAATAAGTTTGGATGCCGTGGTTTATTCCATATTGATTCTGTGCCAGGCCTGATTCCATCTGCCCTCATTAATGTGCACTCAAGGTCAGTGGATATCTCCTTGTGCTATGTCGTTTGGGTCTATTCTATACAAAAACCATTGAATTCCTAGCCCAATATCTGTCCATCTTATTTCAACATTCACCTATTCTTTGCCACGCTTATATGCAATACAACCACAATTCCCATCTGTGTGCATCTAGCATTGTCTAACACTCCCACTTGTCATAGAATCCATACAGTGCTGAAACAGGCCATCCAGGCCATCATGATTGCACTGACCCTCTGAAGAGCATCCCATCTGCATGATCCTGCATTTACCATGGCTAATCCAACTAGCCTGCACTTACGTGGATACTACAGACAATGACCTAACCTGCTCATCTTTGGACTGTTGGAGGAAACTAGAGTACCTGGAGTAAACCCACACAGACACAGGGAGAATGTGTAAACTCCATACAGACAGTTGGCTGAGGGTGGAATTAAACCCAGGTCTCTAGTACTGCGAGGCAGCAGTGCTAACCACAGAGCCACCATGCCAGCCATAAATCCTGTTCAAGTACTGCAGTTCAACTTTTAACTGTTAAGATTGCCATTTAAGGACTGATTAGAAGGTTTTTGCATATTATTGCAAGCTTTGGTCTGCCAGTATTTGGGCTGACACTATATTGGATGTTTGTGCAATAAATTGCCAGTAACACATTCCTTGAATTCATTATTGCTGCCACATTAAAATCTGGGGCATTGGATGAATTCACATATGGGATTTTAGTTGCATCAAAGTAGCTGTCGGACAGTCTGAATGCTCCTTCATTGATACCTAGAATTTAATTATCGACAAATGTCATGATCTCTAGTTGACTAATTTTGTAAAGGCAGCTGCTACCACTGCATTCTATGTAGAACTATTCATTTTGGAGATTTAATTTGTATTTTGGCAGCAATAAGGGAAACATCTTTGACTGCATGTAAGTTGTCAATAACCAAGAATCCAAGTTTATAGAAAATGGTTTCTTTTGTATGAAGTGGTGAGAGTAACATTGACAAACACCTTATAGACTAGACCAACATTATATCATAAGGAAACGTAGAAAATAGGAGATGGAGTAGGCCATTCTGCCCTTCAAGCCTGTTCCATCATTCAATGAGACCATGGCTGATCATCTAAACCTGATTCCACTTTCTCCCCATTCTCTTTGATCCCTTTAGCCCAAAGAACTTCAAGTAACTAGGGCTGTGGATAGGGATAAGAATAGTGGGGGAGGGAGGGTGCGCTTCAGTTGCACAGAAAATTATAGAAAAAGTTAAAGGTGGGGGCAAGCTCAGCAGAGGCTGTTAAAGTTTCCCAAGCAAGTAATAGGACAGAGAGTATGGAAAGGGTCAGGAATCTAACTTGAGTCACAGCAGATGAGGGGACAACTATGAGAAGGGGAGGCAGTCAATGCAGTGTAGGAGTTGGAATGTCATGTTGAGGTTGTACAGGATGTTGTTGATAATGCCTTTTCTGGAGGACTGTGCCCAGTTATCATTGCCCTGTTATAGGAAGGATATAATTATGCTGGAGAGGGGTCAGAAGAGATTTACCAAGATGTTGCCATGAAAGGAGGCCTTGAGTCATAAGGAGAGGCTGGATACACTGGGACTTTTCTCACTGGACCATAGGAGGTTGAGGGGTGACCTTATAGGAGTTTACAAAATCACGAGGGGTATAGATAAGGTGAATGGCAGATGTCTTCTCCTTAGGGTGGGGTTTTCAAGATGAGAGGGCATTTTTTAAGGTGAGAGGAGAAAGATTTAAAAAAGAGATGAGGGACAACATTTTTTACACAGAGAGTAGTTTGAGTGTGGATTAAGCTTGAATTGAATTGAATTGAAATGAATTAGCTTTATTGTCACGTCCTCAAATTGAGTACAGTGAAAAGTTTATAAGTTGCCAGTTACAGTGCTTCCAGAGGAAGTGGTGGATGAAGGAACAGCTATAATGTTTAAAAGATATTTGGATAAGTACATGAAAAAGAACTGTTTGGAGGGATATGGGGCCAAGTGCAGGCAGGTTGGATTACCCAAGTTTGAGATTATAGTCGGCATGGACTGGTTAGACTGAAGGGTCTATATCCGCGCTGTATGACTCTATGACTGTATGACTCTATGACTATATGACTATGATTGAGGGTGTTGTACTTAAATGCACACAGTATA